GAAGGTAGGGGCGATGCGCTGCAGCCACGCGCTCAACTCCACAGCTGCCGCTTGCACATCGTTCTCAAGTGCAGGGGAGTTGGAGCGTCTATTCTGGTATTTAAAACGTTAACGCCTCCCTGCCCGCTCAGTCAATAATCCTCTCCCGAAGGTTGCTCCTCAGCAGTTACCCGCTGCACAACACGCTGCAGCCGTTCTTACGTGTCTGACCGACATCGGAGCCACGAGCTGCTCCGGCTGCCGGAGCACACGGAGCGGCACCCAGCATGCACCCAGCCCAAAGCTGCCTGTGTGGAGGCTTGCTGCAACGCTGCGCGCCACGACAAATCGCCCGCCTCCACAGAGCAGTCGGCCAGCCAAAAACGGCAGCGGCTGATCTCCCCAGGGCATCGGGGACGGAAAAGCGGGAGGCGCTCGGGCAGCATCGCTAAGAGGCGGCAGCGCCGGCGTTTGCTATTTTGGAGCCTGTTACCAAGCCGCTCTCCAGGGCCGGGATGGGTTTAGGCTTGTTTCAACGCTTGTTCCAGGTCTGAGAACCTCTTGCGGGCCCGACTGGTACAGCGGTGGCAGCAACAACAGCAGCTACATCTTGGCCTTGTTCGTCACCTGCTTCGTGATGCCCCTCAGCCTGATTCTCTTCTCCTACACCAATCTGCTGATGACCCTGCGAGCCGTAAGTACGGCGAGTTAATGGGTTTCTGCTCACAAAACGCTGGCAAGACACTCTCCGTGGGGTATGAAGAGCCTCACGGCCGGTTTTTGTGACAGGTGATGGAGCTGACATCTCCTGGCGCTGCTGCCGGGGTACCTACGGGATGGAAAAGCTGTTGGAAGCTGTTAAGCGCGCACGCATCTCTCTCTTTTCCAAACTCCCGGCAGGCTGCGGCGCAGCAGCGGGAATCGGAGACGACGCAGCGGGCGGAGCGGGAGGCGACGCGCATGGTGGTCGCAATGGTGATGGCCTTCCTCGTCTGCTGGCTGCCCTACGCCACGTTCGCCTTGGTGGTGGCCACCAACAAAGACGTCGCCATCCGGCCAGCTCTTGCGTCTCTGCCCTCCTATTTCTCCAAGACCGCCACGGTTTACAATCCAATCATCTACATCTTCATGAACAAACAGGTGAGAGAGAACGCCGTTAGCTAACAAAGCCACAGCTTCGTTGGGGCTTGTGGAGAACAAAGTAATGGCCTCATAAAATGTGGAGGAACCATCTATCATCCCTGGAAGCCTAGACGCAGGCTGGATCTGGGAGCCGCTGTGGAAGCGGCAAGGCTTTGGGGAATAAAATGGAAAGGGAGGGAGCAGCCTCTGAGCCCGAACAAGAGCTCATTTTCTGCTTCCATGATTTTACGGGGTCAGGCAACTTAATTTTATACCGCAAACTGCTCATTGAACACACGAAGCAAACAGAATGAAACTTCTATTGACAATAAACTGCCAGGGTCTGCAGAGACAGGCTGGGAATTGATAGAGATCTCACCCAAAATATAACAAGCATCCACCCCTCAGCCTCTGCCTCCAAGTCCCGGGGTGGACGCCAGTTTTGTGCCGCGACATTAAACCTGTCCCTCCCCTGCCCAGTTTCAGGGCTGCCTGCTGAGAACGGT